ATAATACGAGAGAAAAAAAACACTATAAACTGGCCATATTCTACAGCGAGTAGTGCAGAAGCAGTAATTCTATTTAGCAGAAATTCTTCCCCTAATTTTACTCCTTAACTTCAAACGTTCATTTATTGTTCCAATTTACGTTTAAGCGCAATAAGAGAAAAAAACTTTGAAAACCTTTGTGATAATTTAGACGAAACACCTACAAGTTTTTTTAGTCCAGGAGTTGGTGTAACTTTTGTGCTTTCAAACTATTCTTCTCGCGGATACGAAGTCGGTAGGACATCACTGTCGCTCCAAATGTATCCATCATCACTGTGCAAATAACAGCACCACCGCAAAAGATTATCGTTTGCAAGTGCGCGAAGTTTTTCACGCCATTTTTTGCCGGTGGCTGAAGCCGTCGCTCAGCGCTGAACAGTGAACAAAATTCGGCATTATCAGAGACGCAAAGCGCCATATTGGCTTCTGTCGAACGTAGACTCTATAATGAACTACAAGACAAGGAAAAAAAAAGGAAGATAAAATGCCAAATATTTTGTTTTTTCCTTATCTGAAAAGAAATGCAAAAAAAGAAGGCAAGGGCTCCTGTCTATTAAATCTGTTTATTAGAGCACTAAAAAAAAAGAGAGACAAACAAGTCTTGGTTTTTTAAAACTTCAAAAGCGAGAAAACGAAGAAGCCAAATACCATAATAACATCAAACGATGATTGTACAAAGAAAGAGGAAAATTGTTGAGCAATGTATTTTTCAATTTTTTTAATAACCAAACTGCTTTTTCTGGTATGAGCGTTTGTTTCCTGCCGTTCTGCAGAGGTCTTTTTTTTCAATTTTGTTCGGTTTCATGCTTTCGCTTTCTTGATATTTCTACTTCTGAATATATACAAACACACATACATATAGTTTTTTTCTGTCCGTCTAACATACCAGTAATTTTAAAATGCCGATTAAGGTCTATATGACATTTTAATTACTCAATTTATTCAAGTTTTTATTTGGATCCATTAAAAAAAATTTTTTTTCTTTTTTCAAATTTCATAATCACTCAGCATATTAAGGCAACATGAAAAAAACCTCCTTTTAATTTTACTTTTATTTGTTTGATTTGTCGTAAAATATTAAAAATTTTTTAACGTGGTTAGGTTTCTTTTACACAAAAATATTTGCCGACTAATTTTCACGTTTCAGTAAAGTAAATAGTTTTTATTCAAACTATTTTCTGGTTATCTCGATACAATAAAAAAAAAAAAACAACATCAAAAAAAAAAAGAAATAATAAAGAAACTCTAATGGTTAACGAATTTATTTATGACAAGTGCAACCAAAAATAAACATAAAAGTAACTTCAATCTTCGTCGCGGATAACATTTTTTCTACCCAAATCTGTTTACCGTTGTTCCGAAACAGTCACACTGAAAACATTTCATTTGCCTCAGGCAACGCGCCGCATAATTACACGACTTTCTTTAGCTGATTCAATAAACAGATCAGTATCGGCATTTTAGTATTATTAAACACATCTAATTAGTCGTGGATGTAAAGTGTGCAAGAAATTCACGTTCAATAGAGTACATTTCTGTGTTAAATTACTGAAATCAATTTCAATCACTTCAATAGTGTTCTCTTTGAAAGTTGACAGTAATAATCTGTTTCAATAAATGTTCATTTATAGTTCCAAAAAACATCACTTCAAAAAGCTTGTAAATACCAATACTTCTCAACAGATCCTTCGAGGGAAGACACTGTACTATATGCCTATTTCTGGAGACATTATATCAGTTACAGAAATGTTTTTAGAATGCTTATGATTTCTCTGTTATTCGCAAAAGAAAAGTTGACAGTAATGTAGAAGAGAAATTAACAGAGTAAATTTTTACCGCTACGTGCAGGCTTATTTATTTATTTTTTGCGACTTCATTTTGAAATTTCAATTGTTGCAACCATCGTTCCTTTTTTCTTTTTTTTGGTTGAGAATTAAAGCGTGTTTAAAAAAAAAAAGAAAGAGTTTTGGTATATTTAAAGAAAACAGGAACAATAAAAAAAGCAAAAATTAAAAACCGAAATTTACATGAAGATTACAGCTTTTCCGGTCTTTTCTTTTTTTCCATAGAGACTAAAAAATTTGCAAAAATAACAATTTTTTTCAAAATCTATAATAAGTAACCAAAAAAAAATTTTTTTTTCTTTTTTAATATCGAAAATAAAACAACCACGCAGTAGATAAAACTTATTCAGCAGTGACTGTTGGAATAGTTGAAGTTACAAACGTTGAGCTTTAGATTTTTGATTCCTTCGCTTCGGCGAGCAGAACAAAAAAAAAAGCCTTTTTATTTTTTATTTTTTGCTGCAGCACCAAAAGCAGCAACGTTTTTTTCAACTAATTTTTTTCTTATTGATGATAAAATTAAAATAAAAAAGGATAAAATAATAAATAAAGCAGCAGAAGATGTAAAAAAATTGAGAATTGTTGTTTCCATAATACAGTTTATAAAACAGTTTATTAGTTAATAGAGCAATGATTTTTTGTAGAATAATAATAATAAACTGTCACAAATAAACGAACAACATTTCGAGTCTAATTTAAAGAAACATATTACATACAATTTTAATACTAATAACAATAAATCTGTTCAAAATAAGAGCAGAAGAAAAAAAACGGTCAAAAAAAAAAAAAACAAAGAAAAAAAAAGTTTGGCGCAAATATAAGTCATTAAGCGTTGGGTGGTTGTCTTAACTCAACAGTATCTTTTCATGAAGGTCAAAGTATAAACTCCAGCACATACTTATTATTAGCAGCATTATTCTTATTAGTATCAGCAATGTTTTTTGCTGTTGTTGTTGCTGTTGCAATATATTTGATAAGATTTTCTATGGTAAAGTGAGTTACACCGACTAAACATTGATCACATCATCAGTTAGACGATGACAAATTACTTTGTCAATAAATAATATGTCAAGTAAGCGAAAAATAAAACAAATAAAGAAAGCGAAACATTATTTCTGTTTCAATAAATACACCGTAATAGTAAAAAAAAGAAAAAAATTTTCTTTTTTTGGTGTTCTACTCTTTTTTCCACTTTTAAATGTACACATAACTCAGTATTACTTTGGTATATCAAAGGAAAAAAAGATGCGAAGATTACAAACAAACAAAATATTACAGCAATGATTTGACAAATGAAAAGAAATAGAAAAATATGATGAACTAATCAAAAAAACACAATTTTTGTTTCATGTCTCTTTTTTTTTTCTCATTTTTATCTGAGTTGAAAATTTTTTTAATCAATTATTAATCATCATCTCTTTTTTTCAGCTGAATACTGCAAGTAAGTTATTGCTACCAAAGAAATGATGACAGAGGAATACAATGTCTGTTTCGTGCATATGTATCACAATTTCTTCAACAGATCAACAAATAATGTACTGTTGTAATTACAATTGTAGTGCAGCAACAGTTAAAAAGCCAATAATTATCAGTGCACTTCCACATTTACCTTTATTCAACTTTGCAGCTGATGATGTCGTTTCCCTGTCCAATGTTATTGTCTGATTTTTTGGACTTATAGCTGAAAATGCAACAGCAATAAAATAGCTTTTTATTAACACAGTAGCTGATAGTTGGTTTAATCCAGTGAAGTGCAGTTGTAATCTAATAACAAAAGTGAATTATACGACACTAATAAACACTGTATTTGTTCATGCATGTAGATACCTCAAAACTGCTTATTTGAATTTTGAGTGTAAGTAAAAGAAAACAGAATAGTGATAATTGACTTACTGGAATGACCTTCGTAAGTACCGTCACCATATGACTCAGCTATGGCCGATTCAATTTTACGACTTTTTTGGTTCAAATTACTCATTTCTTTGGTTTCATCTGCGACAACCACAGAAAAGTTTTCTGGAGTTTTTATTGATTCGGCTGATGTATGTGCATCATTTTTTTGCAAAACAGGCGATTCTGATTCAAAAATGTCAGATTTAGCCTCTGTTTCTTTTTGTTGCTGTTCCGTATCTTCAGTGTGTCTTAAACCTGGTACATCGGCAATGGCTAAACCAGCTTGGATTTCTTGGAATGATTTAAAGCCTGTAGATGTTGCCAATTTTTCATCATTTTCTGGAAAATTAATCATTGTTGCCCGAAAGGCTTCGACCGCTTCATCTATTGGTTTGGCTTGTTTGGGTTGATTGTTGAGACCGTCTGCGACAATGGGTTTACTGTTGTCCGAAGTATCTCCTTCAATAGATTCGTTTGAATGATTTTCAATAATGGTTCGTAAAGTCGGTGTGGTAGATTTGGTAACATCCTGTTCCGCCGGTGTTACAAATTCAGCAGTTGTGATAAATGGTACTGCTGCAAAACTACTAGATGGAGTAACGCTCAGCTTGTCTTTTTGGGTTTCTTCATTTCCTCTTTCATCTTCTCTTGATTGAAGTATACGTGTATCGAGTTCTTCACTAAAAATATCTAATATTTTTTCAATTTTCTAATAATGCTTATCACAGTTTTTTCTGGAGTTTAAACGGTGTAAATTTTTTTCTATTTTTTAATTTTAGTGAAGACGTGATAACTGTCAAGTATTCTAACGTTTTCGAATTTGTTGCTGAGTCTGTAGCATCGTTTTCTGCTGGGTTAGTTATTAAGAACTTTTCCATTTTAACTTGTAATTCTGAAAAAAAAAGCTTGTTATTTTCTATTTTAGAGCGGTTGGCTGAAATAAAAGCTTGTTTTATGTAATCGCTTCATTTTTACAATTTAGATCAAAAAACACATAATTTTTACCTTCAGAATTTTTATCTGCAGGTACTAAATGATACGCGTTTAGAATAGGCTCATCGACAAATTTGAATCCAGACGACGGAGCTTCTGGACTGTTACACGTGTCAAAACTTTTACAGGCGCAAACAGTAAATTCGGGTCGTCGCTGACATAAACTTTGACCATTGAACTGCTGTAAGGTGTCCGGTGTAACGTCTAGACATCCGGCAATCAGCGTTGCATTATGATACAAATTGACTACTAAAAGACGTACAATGTTTATCAAATTAATGCGATTATTATTTTGACAACACATAGTTGTTGAGTATAATTATAAATTTAAAAAAAAAAAAA